AGCGCTCGAAGGGTCGGTGCTGAAGGCTATGCCGGATAAATTCTTGTCCGTATGCCAGAATAAGATGAGCAGAGAGCCGAGGCCAGGCTGATAATAAATAGAAAGATCAATCCTAAATGTATAATTGCTGCACATTAAATCTTAAAGGCACTTTCCGCGATAAAATAAGGCTATGACCTTTCAAATGTGTCAGACGATCCGGAAGGAGATTGCGGAGGCTGCGCTACCTTTAGAAAGTGAAAATCCGCAAGAATTCCGCTTCAAGCTAACCAATTAGGCCCAAGGGCGCCCCTTAGGCCCATGCCGACCTCCACCCTGTTGGGCTGGGCCGCTTACGCTACTAGATTAGTAGCACTATGCTCCTCTCTCTCCATTCGAATGGGGAGAGTGAGTGTAGAATACGATAAAAGAGCTTGATATCTTTATGATAACGACGAGTGGAAATTCGTACAAACATGCGTTTTCTTCATTGCATGCATGTACAAGTTGGGGTCGATATGGAATCCTATTTAGGGCATTTTCGGCTGTTTTTCTGCTGCTTTTCTCCGCTAATCAGATACCTAGCCCTTTTCGTTCCTGTGGGTTCCGTTCGGTCACCTCACCAATTCTTTGGTCTGGTCGCGGGGGCATTACCGTTAGCCCTCTTCAGGTAATAGGCGAATACTTGGGTTCAAAAAAGTATGACAGAACTTTCCCGCCAACCTAATACTTCGCAAAAGAAGCGATACGAGCATCAGCATCGAGCATCGAGCAGCATCAGTGGGACATTAGTAGGCAGGCAGGCGCGGTAGATATCTGAGTCGGTATTTTGCAGCTTGATAGGGCTTTATGAGGAATCTTCTCCAGAAAAGGTGCTACACAGCGCCTGTCAGAGCGCGAAATTCCATCCCGCCAGACTTATTAATCCTAAACTTAGGGATTCGTCGAGACAACTGCCCTTATTGGTTTTTGTGCGGTGGAAGTGTCTTGAATAGAAATGTCTATTCCTAAATTCGACTAGTTCTTCTTCCTATAGTTTATCTCACGCAGCCGTAGTACATACAGGGGGGGGGCAAAAAAAAGTCACTTTGACCGAGTCACATATCAGCAAAGTTTTCGCTGCCCAGACAGAGGACGTGGATACGAGTACCAGGGCGGAAGATACCCAAGATGTTCCTCGATAAGCAGGAGCTGGCTCTCGCCCATCACCTTCATGTACACCAAAATATGAAGTCATCTCCAGTCGCAGCCTGACTGGAGAAGACCTTTGGAATTCATGTCACCTCCAAACAGCTGCGAAACTTCTAGTATGGAGCCCATGGATAGCTACCTGGAGACCAGTACTCTCGATCTGGATGACCTCCAACATCGAGCAGCTCCGACAACGTCGCCACGGTCTAGGACATCATCTTCACCACAGTCGCCAAGGCGCGGGGATGGTATGGACCGGACGTACCTGGAATGGAAAGACCAATATTTTCTTCGTGGACCCCGGACTGAAGGTGAGCGCTGGCGGTTACATTGAGCAACTCGTGAAGAATATCCTCCTCACATGTCGTCGCCCGTACCTTCTTGGAAACTTTGTACTGCTACAGCATTGGGTGCCACCACATGGAATCGAAGGGCGTTGGAGAAACTCTCGCCTACTTGGAATGGAAGGGGGCTGAGTACCTAAAGAAGATGGAATATCCAAGTAGGTCACCTGACCTGAATCCCCTCAATTACCCGGTTCGGGCGGAGTTCAATAGGGTGGTCTACGGTGGCGGAGAAATCGACTATCTCGCTGATCTCAGGCACCACATCGCGGTCGCGTGCCAGAATCTCTCGATGGCGCTCGTCCAGAAGGCTGTGGCGGAGTGTCATGATAGTATTTAATATGCTCTTCAATATGGTGGTAAAAATGTCCGATCAGAATTTAAAAAAGTGTGAACTTATTTATTTGGCCCTCCCTGTAGAGTACGATGTGACTGTTGAAGGTCTCGGCGCAGTTCTACAACGAGTGGGGGAGACCGACGGAATCTCGTGATGCCCCGAAATAAGAGCCAAAGTTTATGGAGGTCACCTGTCACTCAGACTCTTGTCAATAGCAAAGGAGGCACTGTACTAATACGCAATTGCATGGTGGCCCGACGAGCTTGCTCCAGCTCCAAAAGAGTTCACAGGTTCCAGAAGAGTGAGACTTGTAAGCCGAAGGTAGTGAAGCAGCGAAAGTGAGAAATGTCCCTCCCCCCGTCGTCGTCATCGTCGATGTCTCCACTTCCTTCTATCCGAATCCTGGTCTGTACTGTCTCGAGTACATTTCTTTGATGGCGAGCATACCTCTTCATTGAAGCTTGTTGTGACCCACTTGCTACTGATTTAAGCCGATCAGAAAGTTAGTGCCCTTCAATAGATGGTTATCAGCGTCGCTTTGGAAGGATTCCAAAACCAGGGAATGTCTAAATTTTTGTGGGTGCTTTTACACCATTCCAGAACTCAGTAACATTCTTTTAGTACGGATTCATGGTAGTACGGATTCCTCGAATAGTGACCGTGCCACTGAGTGGCCTGTCATCGATGGCTGGAATGGAACTTGACCACCTACTGACATAATCTCTACCATTTTACCGATATCCAGAAGAAATCCCCATCCCAGACCGATGATTGAACGATAGACTTGTCCTCACTGTTAGGCGCTGCTACTCATCGATAGACAGCCTCTTTTCTACATTGAACTCACAATTTTCCACGCACCTTTCAAATGCACACTTGCTCCATAATTAGAATATCACACTAATTTAGTAGAGAATCTTCTGCAGGAGCGCTGCAGGTGTCGGCACGCCTAGCTTCGATCATGATCTAAGGCGCTTAGCATGTACTGCTTGCGCTAATCTTCTAAGTAGAGAGGTGTAGAGCATCGATGTAGTTTTATGGGCCATGTGACAAGACATTGCTATAGCTATATTTCTCGACAAAGCAAAAGTACAGTTCTCATCATTGCGGACCGGTGGGGCGAGTCAGCCAGTATGAGTGTGCACACTGTTAAAGCCGTTCTGCAGAGGCTTTTTGTTGGAAGACGCGTATGCGATAAAAAGTGGGGGGGTAGACCACGAGTAATACGGAGGATATTTAATACAGGGCAGGGCACAGCATTCGATGGGGATTTTGGTCGAGCCTGTACGACCCCCCCCCCTTTTTTTTGCCGTTCGGTTTTTTTCGCCTTAAATGAAACTATGAAACGCCACTATCTGGAAATTCTATCTTGTAGTGACAGTGCCGCGATATAAATGGACGACTTGAAGTCATGACATAATAGAACAATACAGAGATGATTGCAAACAAAACACGGTACAATCGTATTATGAGAAACTCGTATGATGAACTTCTTCGATGGCCGTTTTGAAACACACATGGTAATAATAACAATATATCGCGATTAAATTCAATGAGCATTCGTTAACGCTGAAAGAGATGGAATCACCTCTCTGAGCGGCCATCAGCGAACGCACAGTGTTAACAACGCTGTATTCCCCGAAGATTGAATAAGGCCCTGGGCGCCCGCCGGGACGAGGCAAAGAGGAAGTTAGTAGGCTTGTCTCACTACGTAACAGTTATACAAACCGCCGTAAAAATGCATTACCCCGATTATTGGAGTACGGTAGCAGAAGCGCATGTAATTGCGGCTGTGACAGGAGATTATTCGGCAATTTTAGCCATGGAGCGAGAATTTCCAGCTGAGTTAGGTGTCTTTGAAGGACCATAACTTCCTCAAAAGCGGGCCTGTGGGGAAGAGGAGACCGTATCGTGTAGAGGAAGGTTTGCACTTCCTAAAAGTACTAAAACGTTTATGAACGTCGCAAAAATCACAGAGAAATCTGCCATAGGGATTCGTTGGGGAGTGGTTTCAACCGAACAGGTTTGAATCAATATATTTTTTTGTAGCGTCGACAGTTGTGACGCACAGATCAGTGGAGAGAATGGGTCGTTTCGAGGTGTTTGAGAGGATTTTCGTTTCCTAAGAAACGGCTGTGTAAGCGATGTCTGTTACTGAGGAGCTGCGTGCGGGTGTATTTGCTAGGTGTCGTGAGAGGTCTCGCTATGGGGATTTCTTGAGGAACACTCCCAGCTGCGCGAAAAACCCGTTTCCTGTGTACCGTTTCAAGTGAGCGTGTTCGAATAGCCAGGAACGCATGTAGAACGTATCCTGTGGTGGAGCAGGATATGGTTCGTTTAGCGCCGATCACGCCAACTTTGGATGCGCCGCGCACTGAGGGCCGCGCAGAGGTGATGGGATGGTGCAACTTGTGCGTAATGTCTGTTCACGCGAGCAAATGTGTCTATAAGGTTCATTGAGGAGGTAACACGGCGAGCGCTGTGCAACTTGTTTACAGTGTTTTCCGTTGCGTATGATGGAACATGTCCCTGTCAACGCTGCCAGATTCGTGCTCCACCAATCGCTGACTCCGATAAAGGAGACCAACTGCTGGAAACGTCTGATATGAACGATATGGTAGTCCTGTCGCTTGTCGAGAAAAAAACAGGTTGGCTCAGCCAAGCGCGACCGCGGACACGCCATATCATTGGCAGCGAACCAGAGTTTGAGTTGTACTGTTTAGTCACCAACGGACTTACGAGATAATGTCGACTTATTAATATTTGCAGTTATTTCGGATTAGTTTGATGAATGAAAGTTTTGTACTATTTTTTTGCATATCCGAGTTCTCTACAAGCAAGTTTCGTTGTACAGGACTCAGCACATTGACAATTTGCGCTGCTCGTTACTGGCTGCCGCACTCACTACGACCCCCCCCCTCTCCTGGCGGCCAAATACGACCCCCTGTTGGGGATTCCCCAACCAACGATGTGCCCTGTTATAGCAGTCATAATTATTTGCCCACTTTAAATACTGGTGGAGAATGACTTTGGCCCGGCGCCAAACAGAGCCGCCTGAAGCGGCCGGGCCGACATCCGTAATGATGCGGACTGTACTCCAACGAGGAAGGACAACGGCATGGCGAGCGTCTGTTCTCCTTCCGATTTGTTTAAGACATAGGATTGTGAAATCTGCTGGGGCCGTTGCAGACAGAGTCCTTGACACACCGCCAGCTACGCCGTTTCAAGCGACAAGATTGAATGTTTCTGTAGCGAGATTGTAAAAAGTATTCCTTCTGTTGTCTAACCTGAGCAGTGGCGCGATTGTGGTCGAGGAGTCGAGTCATTGCGGAAAAGTTGCGAGCAGGAATCCTTGGAGCCGCATATTTCGCACAGATGTAGGCATTCGTGTTAGCCGGGTTTCCCACAACGAGAACCTGCAAATGCTTGGAAAAATGTTATCGTAATAATTACCTCGCGACATCCTCAGCCATTCACCTTGGTAGTCGGCTTGGCATACTCGGCCAACGCCTTGCCTTGAGATTTGAAAATTTTTACATTGGCTGCTAGGAGAATCTTTGCGTTTCCATAACCCGCTTTACTGAGGCAATAGCTTAATAGCACATTTATGGTTTATGCTCAGGTCGATTAAATAACGAAAATTTACCTGCGTACCAACAACTGCCGTACTTCTCGATCATCATCATCAGCATATAACTCATGCAACAAGGTTCAAAATTACCTCCAACAAGGAAAGCGTAATCGATGTCCGTAAACGCCTCTTTTTCCGTTGTCACACATTCCACCCCTAGGATAATCCTGGTATATATAATCCGATGAGTTTGTCTGTTGGTGTGTTGTGTATGTTTTTTTTTTTTTTGCTTATCTATCTGTATGTGTGTGCTGTGACGGAAAATCATAACTTTCTTCAAAACAGGAGTAAAGCGCTCAAATTTATAAGTGATGTAGGGGTGGGCCAGGAACATTACTGCTGGATGGCAGGAAGTGAGAACAGTTCTTGGAAAGGGAGATGACAACTTCATAAAGCGCATCAGAGCAAGGCTAGAACGTTGGTTCCAATGAGTAAGACAGGGGCCAGGATGGGAACATAATTGATGGGTGGCAGAGCGTGACTTGGGAACATAATTGATGGGTGGCAGAGCGTGATAACATCTGATACAACTTCATAACGCGGATCACAGCAACGAGGGAATTTTAGTTCCAAGAAGAAAGATAGGGGGCAGGACGAGGAACATTATTGGTGGGTGACAGGAAGTGATAACAGCTGATAAGATACCACAGGGGGTCTTAAAAGAAGTGGGCCACCAAATTCATAACGCTGGCCACAGCAACGACGGTACCTTGGTTCCAAGATGTAATATAGGGAGGAAAGCATGGGAACATATCGGTGGTTGGCAAGAAATTATAACAGCTGATAAGATACCATAGCAATTCAGAAGTGGTTAGGGAACATTGGTGGTGGGAGATAAGTTGTGATATAGTGTCCAACAAGAGTCAGTATCTTTTCGCATTTTTGCACCGCTTGCGACTGATGTTGACAGTGGCCCAAGAATCAGTGTGCAAAGGCTAAGTGAGCCAAGATGTTTCTATTCCATTAGCGATATAGTCGGAATTGATTCGACCGCTAATTTCTCGAGTTTTGACAAAAAGTAAAAGCCTAAAGTTGTCTGCCAGTGAAGAATGATAAGGAGCAACCAACAGATGGATTCGTGAAAGCTGCTCAAGGGTAGCGCTCGGATATAAGGAGTTTTCGCGAAGATTCTGATAGTTACCATCGAAACGCTTTCACCGCTAAGCTGTTCTATTCCCAACGAATGGTCTGTGTTTTTAGAAATGTGATAAGCACCATACATTGGCAAATCCTTCTATTCTATAAACCACTAACTTTGTGTCGGTTTGTCGGTATGTATGTATGTATGTATGTCTGTCCGTCCGCAAAATGCTTCACGGGTTCGAGTTCGCTGGAGGCGAAAACGACCGCTAGGCAAACAGGCAAATCGGTGCGGAAGTATCAATCCAATGTTTT